CCCCGCTCGTTCGAACCCTGTGCCGCGCGGCTACACGGGGCACGAACTAGGTAGTTCGAACTAGGCTTCCTAGTTCGAACTACCGTTACTCCTCATTCCACGAGGAGTAACGATAGTTCGAACTAGGAAGCCTAGTTCGAACTACCTAGTTCATGCCCTGTGTAGCCGCGCGGCACAGGGTTCGAACGAGCGGGGTTTTAAAAATGGCGGAGCCCCGCTTATGCAAATGAAGCCCGGGAAATTCAAATCCCGGGCTTCATTTGCAAGTGCGGTATGCCTACATTACCCCGCTAGTTCGAACTAGTGGGGTAGTGTAGACATACCCCTTGAGTGTAAGGGGACACACCAGAGAGCTATGCCTTTAGGAGGGCTAGTGTCTCTCATTGGTTTGCACAACACTGGCCCCTGCCCAGAGCTGTGGTTCAAAAGCTACAGATAGCTCCATCTAAAACTGTGGTATCTGTCACTGTTTCTGGATCTCCCTTCAGTGAGACTTTGGGGTCTGGAATATGCTGTTTTATTAAGGATCCATGCTAGATGATGCAAAGTCTTAATAGCAGCAGTTTTAAAACAAACAAAAGGAAGTGCTTCTTCACACCTCTCAGTCAGCCTGTGGAACTCCTTGCCAGAGGATGTTGTGAAGATCAAGATTTAACAGGGCTCAAAAAAGAACTAGATAAATTCACAGAGGCTAAGTCTATCAATGGCTGTTAGCCAGAAGGGGTAGGAATGGGTATAGCCAGAGGTATTCTTAGCCTCTGTTTGTCAGGGGCTGGGAACAGGCAACAGGGGATGGATCACATGAAGATTACCTGTTCTATTCATTCCCTCTAGGGTATCTGCCTTTGGCCACTGTCAGAAGACAGAATACTGGGCTAGATAGGCCTTGGGTTTGACCCAGTATGGCCGTTCTTATGTCTTGGCTAAAATAATTAGCAGATCCTACCTTGACTGTGAAGGTCAAGTCAGGCTTTGATCATGTCTCCACTGAAGTTGGGGCTGTGATCTGCAGCTCATGTACCTTTGCTAGCTTCAGTCCAACTAGCTATCATGTGCACCCTGCTATTTTTCAGGAGCTAGCTATATTAAAGCTGGCATGGGTACATCTACATGAACTGCAAATTACATCCCGGGTTGCAGTATAGGCAGACTTAGAAAGAACCTGCGTAGTGACAGTCAGGAGCACAGGCTGTGGTTATCCTAGGCCCTAGAGAGCTTGAGAAAATTAGATCTAATTGTTTCCAGCCTTCTGAATAAAGAACTCCATTTGTACTCAACAGTGCTCAGTTCACTCTCTTTTCTTCCACCAGGAACTACTGAGGGGACTCAGGCTATGTCTAGACTGCAAGCCTCTTTCGAAAGAGCTTCTTTCGAAAAAGAGCATCTAGATTGCAACCTCTTCTTTCAAAAAAAGTGAGCCACTTTTTCGAAAGAGAGCACCCAGGCAGTCTGTATGCTCTCTTTCAAAAAAGCCCTGTTTGTATTCAAGAACGCCTTTTTTCGAAAGAGCACTTTCGAAAAAAGGCCTTCTTCCTCATGAAATGAGGAGTACCGCCGTCGAAAGAAAAGCTGCATTCTTTCAATTTAATTTCGAAAGAACGCGGCTGTAGTCTAGACGCTGGTGAAGTTTTTTCGAAAAAATACTACTTTTTTCGAAAAAACCCTGCAGTCTAGACACAGCCTCAGATCTCAAGTTTTGGTTTGCCACAGTATAGAAATGCAAAATCTAATACTGACAACCTTTCCCAAAGGTCAGAGCTATTAATACTAAGGGTCAGGTCTATCTCTAGTAAGGGGCAGTTAAATTCTCTATAGATCACCCTGCCACAATGTGCTAATAAACTAAACAAGGTGTTATTTTCCAAAATAGGGCTGTGATATTCTTTATGGACCAGGCTACCACATGGAAAGCAGTGGAGAAAATATATCACCATTGGAAATTATCAGGCCTGATCTCTTTATTGAGAGATTTTATTACAAGGTAATAAAATCCTATATAGAGAAAAGCAAACCTTATATTTTATAGGAAGTAATTCAAGAATTCCAGTTGGACTAGCAGTGAGCTCATCATTTCATAGCAGGCATAAATTTCATCATTTCATACCCTGCTTCACTATACTTAGCATTATTAAACAATACCCTCAAGAAGACTCCTTTACAGAGTGTAATTCAGAAGGCATGCTTATTACGAGAATGGATCCTTCCACATAACCTAACATAAAACAGAGAATATATTGACACAGACATCAAGGAAGGAAGACAGCAGCATATTTCAAGGAGTTAGCACTTACTGCCCCCCAAATATAAGTTCATAACAAATAAACTATCCCAAATAATAAGACCTTAGCAACAAAATCAGAGACTCAACATCAATGCCCAGAGCAAACATCCCATACATCCATATAACCACCATGGAAAAACCCTGCTAGGAACGTATCCAGGAGCGACTTAGGGCTCCAATGTCTGAGCACCTTACAGATATTAACACATTTGCGCTCCCAACCAATGTTTTCACTCATTTTTTCCCATCCATGTGCAGAATAAATTTTGTTATATGCATCAAGGCCTGTGAAGATGTGCACCACTAATAGAAACACAAGCTGCTGGCTGTGGGCACTGTGGGCACTCTGCTAATCAGCTAGGGTACATTTAAACTGCACACTTATTTCAGAATAAGCTATTCCGGAAGAAATACTCCAAAATAGCTTATTTTGAAATAGCACGTCTACACTACAGGGAAGCCTCAAAATACCAATCAGTGCTTACTTTTGAGAGAGCATCCGTGCAGTCTGCTTGCTCTTTTTTGCAAAAGCACATCGCTTTTTCGATGTGCTTTTGCAGTGTGGACACACTCTTGCACAAGAAGTTTTTGTGGAAGATCTCTTTAGATAAAAGCTTCTTGCGCAAGAAGCCTGCAGTCTAGACACAGCCTTAGAAAAGTTAGACGTCTGCAAGTCACTAGAGCCTGATGAACTGCATCCTAGAATACTCAAGGAGCTGATAGAGGAGGTATCTGAGCCTTTACCTATCATCTCTGAAAAATCATGGAAGACAGGAAAGATTCCAGAAGACTGGAAAAGGGCAAATCTAGTGCTCATCTATAAAAAGGGAAATAAGAACAACCCGGGAAACTACAGACCAGTCAGTTTAACTTCTATGCCAAGAAAGATAATGGAGCAAGTAATTAAGGGTACGTCTAGACTACCGCGTTTTGTCGACGGAAGTTTTGTCGACAGATACTGTCGACAAAACTTCCGTCGACAAAGAGCGTCCAGACACATTGAGTTCTGTCGACAAAGCAAGCTGCTTTGTCGACAGAACTCCGTAGTCTGGACGCAACGTTACAGGCAATAACACCTTCTGTCGACAGAGTTCTGTCGACAGAAGGTGTTATGCCTCGTAAAATGAGGTATACCAGCGTCGACAAAACTGCTGAGTTCTGTCGACGTTATGTCGACAGAACTCAGCGGTAGTGTAGACGCTGGTATAGTTTTGTCGACAAAAGTCCACTTTTGTCGACAAAACTAGGTAGTCTAGACACACCCTTAGGAATTCATCTGCAAACACCTGGAAGATAATAAGGTGAT